TGGGCGGCGGCGGCGGATCTCTGTCATATCTCTACCAAAGCGCGCGGAAGCTTCTCCTTCAAGCAAGAAGTGGAGTCGAGAAGCTGGAGCGATTCGAATCGGCCGCATACTCTTCATCCCCATTGTCGTCATTACCTCCACCATCATCGGTTTCTTTGATCGGGATCGGATCCAACTCTTCGACGGAGCTCGCATTCGCGATCAAGAAGGATGTCGACCAGATCCAGTCGTTGTGTGCGGATATGGATCGTCTCTGGCGGTCGATTGCATCCAAAGGACAGCGCGATCTCTGGAAGAGGTTATTTCTGAATCCGAATTAGGGTTTCCGCTGTGTGTTTGCCGACAAAAATTTGGTCCTGTCACTGCGTAGTATTGGCTCTGATCTATGAGAAGGTTTGGTGACGAATTTATTTGGGGAACACTCTTATGTGTCCTAACCCTAACCCTAATCAAAACATAGAAACAAATATGAGAAAGTGATCGCGGTAGTTAAATTTCGTGCCTGCTTGATTTTAATTGCTTTTTGTTGTAATAGCTTAAAAACATTTGAAAAGCGTTGCATCTTAGGATTTGCACATGTTATGTCATAATGCTGGACTTATATAAAATTTTGCTTCTTATAAGTGTGTGGTCTAAGTCGTAAGCTGCAACTAGAAGGGCATTTGCAATGCAACAAAATATAAACACTTGCACCGTAGCAAAAATGACCCACTTGCAGGCAACTCTAGTTGCTGACTGCCGAGCAGCCCCTTAGCAAGTCATTGGTTTGTGAGCGTGAAAATATTGATATATTAAAATTTCTCTCAACGTCACGCTTCCTTGGATGGAGATTCCGAATTCTTTATCGTGCTTTATACCAGGTTTCTTTTTGAAATCCAAAATATGCCTGAAATACTTGAACCTAGCTATCCGGGGTCAGATTTCTGAGGCATTTTAGTATTTTACCACCAGAAGGGGGTTGTTCTTTTTTGTATGGGAAAAATGCTTCCAGCCCCCAAAAGCCAAGTGAACGTGCTTCCTACCCCCAAGACTTGGTCAATGAGTGTTTTACCCCTAAAAATAAAGATTGTGTTCTCTGAGCCCCCAAAACACAAAACCCAAGACATTAAAACATGCGAAGACCATAATACCCTTCTCTCTCTCTTTCTTTTTTTATTAAAATATGATGAGGATTATTTTATTATTTCTCTATCTCTCTCTCTCTTTATCATGATGTACCAAGAGGATAGTTGAAATGATTGATGAAGATTATTTTATTATTTTCGTTTTTTTATTATTTTCGTTGTTTGTATTGGGAGGTTGTTAAAGTTACGGGTTGATTGTTAAGGTTACGGGTTGGTTGTTAAGGTTAAGGGTTTGTTGTTAAGGTTATGAATCCTCTCTCTCTCTTTCTTTTTTTATTAAAATATGATGGGGATTATTTTATTATTTTTGTTTTCTCTCTCTCTTTATCATGATGTACCAAGAGGATAGTTGAAATGATTGATGATGATTATTTTATTATTTTCGTTTTTTATTATTTTGGTTGTTTGTATTGGGAGGTTGTTAAAGTTACGGGTTGATTGTTAAGGTTACAGGTTGGTTGTTAAGGTTAAGGGTTTGTTGTTAAGGTTATGAATCCTCTCTCTCTCTTTCTTTTTTTTATTAAAATATAATGGGGATTATTTTATTATTTTTGTTTTCTCTCTCTCTCTTTATCATGATGTACCAAGAGGATAGTTGAAATGATTGATGAGGATTATTTTATTATTTTCGTTTCTTATTATTTTGGTTGTTTGTATTGGGAGGTTGTTAAAGTTACGGGTTGATTGTTAAGGTTACGGGTTGGTTGTTAAGGTTAAGGGTTTGTTGTTAAGGTTATGAATCCTCTCTCTCTCTCTTTCTTTTTTTATTAAAATATGATGGGGATTATTTTATTATTTTTGTTTTCTCTCTCTCTTTATCATGATGTACCAAGAGGATAGTTGAAATGATTGATGATGATTATTTTATTATTTTCGTTTTTTATTATTTTGGTTGTTTGTATTGGGAGGTTGTTAAAGTTACGGGTTGATTGTTAAGGTTACGGGTTGGTTGTTAAGGTTAAGGGTTTGTTGTTAAGGTTGTGGATTTGTTGTGTAGGTTACGGATTTATTGTTAAGGTTACGGGTTTAATTGTTAAGGTTACGGGTTTAATTGTTAAGGTTACGGGTTTAATTGTTAAGGTTACGGGTTTAATTGTTAAGGTTACGGGTTTAATTGTTAAGGTTACGTGTTTAATTGTTAAGGTTACAGGTTTAATTGTTAAGGATAATAAAAAACAAAAATAATAAAATAATCCTCATCAATCATTTCAACTATCCTCTTGGTACATCATGATAAAGAGAGAGAGAAAACAAAAATAATAAAATAATCCCCATCATATTTTAATAAAAAAAGAAAGAGAGAGAGAGAGGATTCATAACCTTAACAACAAACCCTTAACCTTAACAACCAACCCGTAACCTTAACAATCAACCCGTAACTTTAACAACCTCCCAATACAAACAACCAAAATAATAAAAAACGAAAATAATAAAATAATCCTCATCAATCATTTCAACTATCCTCTTGGTACATCATGATAAAGAGAGAGAGAGAAAACAAAAATAATAAAATAATCCCCATCATATTTTAATAAAAAAAGAAAGAGAGAGAGAGGATTCACAACCTTAACAACAAACCCTTAACCTTAACAACCAACCCGTAACCTTAACAATCAACCCGTAACTTTAACAACCTCCCAATACAAACAACCAAAATAATAAAAAACGAAAATAATAAAATAATCATCATCAATCATTTCAACTATCCTCTTGGTACATCATGATAAAGAGAGAGAGAGAAAACAAAAATAATAAAATAATCCCCATCATATTTTAATAAAAAAAGAAAGAGAGAGAGAGAGGATTCATAACCTTAACAACAAACCCTTAACCTTAACAACCAACCCGTAACCTTAACAATCAACCCGTAACTTTAACAACCTCCCAATACAAACAACCAAAATAATAAAAAACGAAAATAATAAAATAATCCTCATCAATCATTTCAACTATCCTCTTGGTACATCATGATAAAGAGAGAGAGAAAACAAAAATAATAAAATAATCCCCATCATATTTTAATAAAAAAAGAAAGAGAGAGAGAGAGGATTCATAACCTTAACAACAAACCCTTAACCTTAACAACCAACCCGTAACCTTAACAATCAACCCGTAACTTTAACAACCTCCCAATACAAACAACCAAAATAATAAAAAACGAAAATAATAAAATAATCCTCATCAATCATTTCAACTATCCTCTTGGTACATCATGATAAAGAGAGAGAGAAAACAAAAATAATAAAATAATCCCTATCATATTTTAATAAAAAAAGAAAGAGAGAGAGAAGGGTATTATGGTCTTCACATGTTTTAATGTCTTGGGTTTTGTGTTTTGGGGGCTCAGAGAATAGATTCTTTATTTTTAGGGGTAAAACGCCCATTGACCAAGTCCTGGGGGTGGGAAGCATGGTCACTTGGCTTTTGGGGGCTGGAAGCATTTTTCCCTTTTTGTATTCATGTGTTAGTTCAATGTTTGATTGGTGCAAGTTTTGCCATTTTATCAAGCCAATGTAGATTTTCCGGGTACCTTGTTGCTAAAAAATTCCAGGTGATCTAGTTTGGGAACCCCTGGGACCACATCCTTTGGAATATTGAGTGAGAAGAATAGTCTACCCCTTTGCTTAACGTTTCTCTATTGATGCATGATATATGGACTTATGATATATTGAGTGAGAAGAATAGTCACTTATCCAATGCGATTGTGATAGAAGCAGAGTGATCTTTATTAGGTAAATTGATCACATTGTATGTGTTATGATGATAGGTTTGAATGATATAAAAACTCGTTCTTAGTACTAGCCTTAAAAAGAACATGCAACACTGAGGGATGGAAGGAAGGTGAAGGGAGTAGATTCTCGTTTAATATTGAAATCACTCACTAGCATGTGGGAATATAAGTCAGTAAAACAAATAGCTTTCATTTAGTTCTCCACAACCTTTGAATTCATCTAATTAGTGTTACGGAAAACAATCAGACATTGTTTAGGTGATATCCACTTATGGACATGTAATAGTTAAAATTGCAAAGCAACATACCAGGTAAATACATTTGGTTGTGGAGAGCCCGGGCAATTCCTTAGAGCAGGTCCTTTAGCATTGTGTCATGCTCCACAGCTGAACCGACTTTTGATGGTAAAAGGCTTTTGTTATATGTTTCCTTATGCTTAACACCTAGTTGGCATCCTCTCCATCGTTCATGCTTCATAATGTCTGTTACATTCTAATTTCCCGGTCTTTTTGGAAAAGCATATGGTTTTGTGCAGCGCTGAACATATTAAAAAACTTTAAGCTATTTAGGACTCTAAGAAATCATATGCATTTTTATTTTATTTTTTTTTATTTGAAGTTCTCAATCTTTTTTACTTGGTTCAGAAAAGTGGAACAGGTGGCAGAAGAGGGTGATTCGTTGAAAGAAAATCTAGACAAACTTTCAGCTCGACAACAGCAGCGAATGCAGGAAGCTAAAGAGAGAGCAGAACTAATGCAAAGAGTGGTATGTGGTCTTAGTTTTTAACTGCGGTCAATTTTTCTTGGCATCCATTGAACACGATATACTACTGTTGTTGGGTTCAGGAATATCGTCAATTAACTCTAATCATGTATATATAACTAAGACAAGATATTCTTTTGCAGAATGGGGATGGCGAACTTGTATTGAAAATTTTTGATGATGAAGCTCGAGCAATGGAGTCAGCCCGAAATTCTCACATAATGGTTGAAGAAGCCTACTCCACTGGAGTAGCTATTCTTTCAAAATATGCAGAGCAGAAAGATCGTCTCAAGGTAAGGGTGCAAGGTTCAAAATATAGCATCTCCTTCGTTCATTACCCCCAATCATTTAAATTAAGACCTGATAAAACCGAAAAATGATTCAATTTCTGATTGCAGATAGCTCAAAGGAAGGCTTTAGACATACTTAACACAGTTGGGTTGTCCAACTCTGTGCTAAAGCTTATTGAGAGGAGACACCGAGTTGACAAGTGGGTTGCATATGCTGGTATGATAATTACAGTCATTCTGGTGTATATGTTCTGGAGGTGGACGCACTAATATCTTATGACTTGACGTTTAATAACACGCTAGATTTCATGAAATGCCCGAGGAGATGTACGAAGGAGTTAAAAAAATTGTTCAATTTTTGTTGTTTAATAACACGCTAGATTTCATGAAATGCCCGAGGAGATGTACGAAGGAGTTGTAAAGATTGTTCAATTTTTGTTCTAATATATGGTATAGTTTTATCAGATGTAGTTTATGCATCATTCTCAGATGAATGACATGCCAATTTCGCTTGTATTTTGATTCTTCATCAGGTAGCTTTTCCAATCCGTTGATGAGATTATGGTTTGATTCGAGTGGTATTCTTGAAGACGGGCTAAGGCTGCGTTTGGGAACTTTGATTTGGATTTGGAAAGTTGATTTAAAATCAATGGATTTTAAATTTAGGATTTGAAATCCATGATTTAAGAAATCTTTTGTTTGGATATCTTTATTAAATAAAAGGATTTGAAATCTTTGATTTCAAAATCTAATGTTTGGGTACTTTATTATATATGAATTTGAATTTAAAATTGATAAAAATTTATTCTCTTAACCCATCTTGTTTACATCAAATACAATGGTGATGTATAAAATAGTAACCAAAAAACATAAATTTAGGTAATTTTGGCGATGATAGCTACATTTGCTAAATTTTCAAATTCATTGCCCACCATAACTTGCAAGAGTTTCAACAAAATAAAAATGAAGAAAACTCTACAAACATATCAAGTATCTTAAAAAAAACATCTAAATAATACATTATCATTGCATATTTTACAGATATCCAGACTGGAAAACACTTGAGGCTTGTTTCATATTTCATACATATTCAAAGTGAGAATAAGTTGATATCAGAGCAAATAAGTAACACTTTCATTAACTTCTCAAATGCAGGTACAACTGACAATTACATAGTCAATTTGGTCTTTGATATACCAAGAGAAATGTTAATAAGAAAAATTACAAAGAGTTGCAAACTGAATAGCATGTGAGAAGAGAAGTATCCTTGATGTAAAGAAATTACAACTGAGGATTCAGAAGTGCTCGTATGATAAACCCTATCTGCGACAACAAAAGAGTAATTCATATGCCATCACGATATGAGCCCAAAACCTGCAAAGAAAATGAGCAGATCAATAATTTTTTTTAATCAAGCTAACAAGCTAACAAATTAAACAAAAAAGTCGGAGACTGAATAAGATAAGCATAAAAGCATATGGAGACCTGTGAGAGTATTGGTTAGGGAAATCAATACACTAGATGATACACAACCTAATAACAAACATGAGAACTACATTTGCGCACACTTTACAACTCAGCCTAACATCATACATGAGACTTAGTCACTCAAATCTGTCTAGCATCATACATGAACCAAAGGAAGATCATAAACTGAAGGAAATGCAAGCCCCCACAAATTCCAACAAATGTGCAGTTATACATACAGCCATAAAACGTGCATGACCATTCAACAAATATTTAGTAGTGCCATGTTCATTTCCATCATTCGTGCCCATAACTAAACACAAATACTCTTTCATAAATGCATATTTAAAACAAATAACTACTTCGAGTCCAGAATTAGCACCTAGAGAAAAAAACACAGGTAATATAAAAAAGAAAAAGATTAAGAAAGCAAAAAAGGTAAGTCTATTAAGAAAAAGAAAAGGAAACTAGCTTACAGATACAGTACTGATGTGTCATCTTATTCATGCTTGTTGTAGTGCATGCTTCAATGTCAGAACACGAGAAGTATCAGTCTACCAGGAAAATTTAAAAGAGAAAGGATGAAAAGAAAATCGTTGTTTAATTTTCGAGTAACAAAAGAAATGCTATTAACATGTAATAATATTAGGAATGTGCGTGCACGGGAGAGCGTCAATGATGATGTTTCCACAAGAACATGAAATGTCATACCCCGTGTCGAGCACATATCAGAATGAGCGTGGGGTTTCCAAGTTGTAGCTAAGATTGAGGAGCACACAAAAGGCTCTCATTAAGAGTTTGTAGTGCTAAGGAAAGGAGAAATATCATGATCAGGATATACATACACCCATGTTTTTGGTACTTGGATAGCTCAGGCAAAGAAATCAAATCACACAAACGTCGTCGAGAAAATAGCCAAAGTGCGCAGCGGTTTGGTTGTCTACTCATCAAATGAACATTTTCTTCGTGATGATTTGTGTCCTTTTGTCGTCAAAGTGACATTCTGTACATATTCTAAGTCAAGAAGGGACTCCATACGTAATATAAAGCAAATACAAGTAATTTCTGACAGTTAAAAGATGGGGAGAAAAGAAAAAGAAACCAGCGTATTGTGTGAATAAGATAATATTCATCAGCAAACAGGCACAAGATTAGGGTAAACAGATGCTGGCTTAATACATTAGTGTAACAATGCAAATTGGGTTTCTGGTCTCGTTCTAGTACTAGATAATCTGAAGTGAACACCACAAAGCTCAACCAATTAACACAGGCAAATGCTCACATGTGAAGAAAATGCTTTTTTCCCCAAACTCTTGTCATATCGAAAAGAAAAGGGAAAAAAAGACGATAAGCATATGCGAAGAAGGTGCAATATCCTTAGTCATACTGACGTTAACGGTTTCAGTTCTATTTTAAGCGTATTACTAGCGTATTCCAAATCCTTAACGTCACCTGTATGTCAAAATAACAATATAGCTTACGAAGGAGATATGAAAATCCTATTTTTCATAACAACGCACAACGAGAAGTAGAAATACTGAAGTACTAATAATATGCCAGTACAACACGACTACACCAAACTTAGTTGGACCTGCTGATAATTTTGGCTACAAAACCTGAACACAACGAATTTGGTCAGCAATAAGTAAGGTTTTATTGGTTTTTTTAATCCATAACTAGATATGTTACTCTTTATGCACTTTCAGATGATTTCTAAAACGTTCATCTAAATCAAATCCTAAATTGCACCAGATTTTGATACATGAACATTGACAAGACACAACGACGAAAGGAAAATTCTAAAAAAAAAGAAAAAATACATATGACAGGCATGTCCAACGAGATGCGGCTTCAGAGCAGGCATATTCATGCTAGGCAGAGAGTATGCAAATTGGGTTTCTGGCCCTAGTCTTTCTCCACACCGACTTATTTCATTGTTCAGACCCACTGCTAAATAAGACATTCAAACAAAAAGGCTCCAGTGACATAAATTTATGAATCAAATCTATCAGAAAGCAATAGAGATTAGAAGGTGATATGTAATGAATATTGTCGTTCACATGAATATGAAATAGTCATATGCGCATCAAATGAGTATTCTATAATCACAAAAATCAAATATGTGAATGATCATAGTTTGCATTTAGTAGACGAATATCAAAGTATGCTGATTTCTCTTAAATGACCATATGAATCAAATTTGAACAAATACTTTATCAAAATGAATACTCAATAACATAAGACCACACTAAAGGACCAGGTTTTGTTACATGTTCAACAAATCAATTACCAGGTGACACCGACCTCCAAACCAAAAAAAAATTTCACAGAATTAGAACCATCAAAATTATGCAAAATTAGTCCAAAAAGAAAAAAAAAGGGAAAAGAAACACATTTGGGGAGAAGCAAAAGAGAACTCACCCAAATGCAAGACAGAGTTTCAGTTCCCAAACCTGGAAAAAGAAAATAAGCAAGTTATATAACATGAATCCAACATTAACACTATATAAACCCTAGATCAGATCTGGGGGGAGGGGGAGGGGGAGAGAGAGAGATTTTTGAGAGAGAGAGGATCGCGATTTTTGAGAAACAGAGGATCGGGTCGGGATTTGATAAATGACACAGGGTGGGTTGGAATTTGAAATCAGGGGTTTTGGCTCTCAAATTCCTCTTTGTTAAATCAATTGATTCAAAATCTTGGTCTAAATCAGAACCCAAACTAAAAATTTGGATTTGAAATACCCTGGATTTTAAATCCAGACCCAAATCCAAGTTCCCAAACACACCCTTAAGATACCTTAGATATGGTATCCCAAACACACCAAAATGATCACTTTAAATTTGAACGGACAATTCTTTAACAAAGAGAAATACTTCTGAGGATGAAGAACACCATTTGTTTTCTGGTTATGGTCATCCAGTATTATGGAATAGGGTAATCGTCACGTCCTTCACATCTCGAGCAAGGCTGGCTCTGGCTTCGCGTCTTTTTTCCTTCCATTTTCTTGATTAGATTTTGTTGATGACTCTTATCGATACAATCAGTAACAACTAACTAGGGAGTATAAACATTTTTGCCCTGCCTTGAACAAACGTATGGAACAAATACAATTGAACGTGCGTGGTTCCTTCTCATCTTTTCTAAGGCATGAAAACATACGGTACCTCGTTATGGTGAACTACAAAGCGCATGATCCAACAAACAAATCTGAGCAACTCATAGCTGACCATCTCAGCTATTCAGTGAATTGCAAGAATCTCCAATATCGGATGCGGCGATGATTTAACTTTTTCGCATGGGAATCATCAAGGGGACTGATGTTTGGGTTTACGCTTGAAAAGCATGCCGAGCTTCCTACTTAATTATCAACTTATGAAAGAAAACATAGAGGAAAAAGGTGCTTGCCAACATTAAAAAAACATTGAAAGGACAGATCACAGTATTCATATTATATTTAAGAGTATAAAATGCATACATGAGTACAAAATGTATACCCAGCTTCATGGTCCAGACACCGCACTACACGAATCTCAGTGCCGAACGAAAGCAACTAATTGAATATTCAAGCCAGAAATCGTTCTCAAAATTTTTAAAGTCTGGTGCTTCTTTTGTTGAACATCTACTACCCTCCGGTAAATTTTTTTTAAAATAAAAGGACAGGATTCCTGATGCCTCGCTTGAGTATATATCTCCCGAGCGTCCAAAGAGCCATAACTGAAAGATGCCCAGGTGCTCGGCAGGAAAAAGCTTAACTTATACTCAGTTTCCCTAGTAAACAGGGGAGAAAAAAATTACCATATCTTCTTTCTGACCCAAAAGAGAAGCAGCACGACTCCAATCACAATAGCAACAGGAGCCCACTTTCGTATCAGAGCCTGCAAAAAGATCATCATATATCAGCTGAATTTTTTTATTGTTTGCACAGGCTGCAGGGATTTAGAAGACTTGCATTGAAAGATAAGTGCTAATAAAATATCTAGAAGGTACACGCCAGCCCCCACCCCACCACCACCGCCCCGCATACGCTGCAGACGAGAAAAGCAGCCACAAAGCTAGTACATGCACATAGTACATACTCGTTTACATGGAAGTGAGTAACATTCAAATATCCAAAGACTCATTGCTCAGAGTTGCTGCATTGGGACAAACAAATGTTACTTAAAGACCTGACACAAATGTCAAGTGTCTTGCACATCAAATATCTGACAAGGTAATCTTTGTAGACAACAACTACCATCAACAAAACCTTTATCCAAATTTTAAGCGTCAACCACATGAATCATATTCTTCCACTCATTTTTGTTGTCATGTCCTTCTCAATAGTTTCTAACCAGGTTCTCTTAGGTCTACCTATATTCCTTTCTCTATCAGCTCTAATGTTATCACTTTTTCCTAATTGGTGCATTTTAACGACCTTTGTTACACATGACAAAACCATCTCAAACAATAAACTGATCTACTCCATGTATTAATAAGAATATTGATTTTCTGAACTCCTTATGCATGAGCTTGAGGTGTTTCCAAAATAAGTTTTCTTCATAATGAATTATCAACTTGACATACAAGCTACTATGATTTGCGATAAGTTCAAAAACGAAGTGCAACCACACTGTGTTAGCAAATTAATTAAAAGACAAACAAGGCAACAAACATATATATTGTACCTGTCTATTCAAATCTTTTGCTTTATCAGCATAGATGCGAGATTCAGATGTCAACCGACTTGACATTTCACTGACCTCTGCATAAACATTGCATCAATTCATTAGTCGCATAAATTGAGAATTGGGTTTTCATAATTACTGCTTCAGATTAAGTTGAAAGGTAAACCAGATGTAAAGCAATATAAAGGTCGCTTAAGACAAAAACTCAAAGAGAGTATGAACTATGGATTGCAGCCTGGAACTTCCATGATCTTAAAAATTGCACACATTAGTGGTGAGTAAAACTGTCACATGTAACTTTAAAATTTAACCCTTACTTTTGAACTCTTTACAGTTCAGTAATATATATTTGATTTCCAAATCCCCGAATTTCTTTAATGCTACCAGTGTTACTATGTAGTATAGTTACTTCAACTATTGGAGCCTTTTTCCTTTTCCCCCTTTTTTTCTTTTCTTTTTTTGGGAAAACTTGATTGGACATGACATTTTTTGCTGTTGCTGTTGCTGATGAGTATGAAGAATTTCAGAAATTGTTAAAATTGTTGGTGATTTGTAATTTCGTGCCATGTCTGATGTTGGCATGTTTGTGTCCATGTACGTCCATCCAAAAATAACATAAACTAGAAAGTACAGTCAAGTCACTGGGATTTAAAATAAACCCAGACTAACATTAGCGCTACATTTTGATGAGCTAATTGCTATACCTAAGTTCTGTTCTTGTCTGTTCGTCATCTCCATATAGTCCCATCTTATATCAGCATCAAGAAGCAAAACTGAGATTAACATAAATCCACTTTGACAGTTATGCTAAGTATTTTGATGACCTTGGTCACTATACCAGAGCTGTGATCTTGTCTGTTCATCTTTCTCCACCTTTCACATCTCATGTCAGACACAAGAGAAGAAAAAAGTGCAATGTTAAAAGAGCATGACTTATCACCAATTGCATCTTCCATCTTGCATGCTACCACAATAAACCACACCAGAATTCCCAATGTTTCATGATCATAACTGGAGGGTCAAATTCTTCCTTTAATGTGAAAGCTTAAGGCACATGTCAGCTGGCTACGAAAGTTTGGACTTTCTTGCTTTTAAGTTTCTAGCAGATCATATGCCAAACATGAAGCATCTCTCAGAAAAATGGACATCATGCACGATTAAGTTGTTGAAATATATCTTTAGATGCATACAGCAACAGAGTGAACCGCATATATGAAATCTATATGAAGCTATTACTGTCACCAGTAGCGAAGTCAAAAGAATGAACAGGAATAAAAATTCAAATGAAGATGGTCAGGTTATGAATGTTGCATTTGTTTTCTTTTGACTGGCTCTCGTTGTGCCACCAATATAATAGCTTCGAGGACTTAAATAGTTTCTGAATTTTGACCACTCATATAACTATTTAGAGTAGGCGATTACAAAGAGAGACATCAATGACCGTGAGGCAACTGCAGATTGGTGATTAGCTAGTGCTTGTATGAAATATGAACAATAGTGTATGATTCAACTCATATTACCTAAATACAGTAACTATCAAAGACCCAAGTATAGGATAATGATAAAACAATGAAAATGAAGTACGAGAAAAAGTGATTACAAATATAGACAATTAAGGAAGATCAAGGACTCACGATCCAATTTTTCCCCAACACCAAGAACTTCTTGAACATTGCGAGTCATTATCTGGTGGACTTCATAAAGCTCATCATTTAACTTTGCAAGGTTCCTTTGGGTACGAGTATCCAAGTACAGTTTCTTGGTCTTCTGAATGAATGTATCTTTACAATAGTAGCATGTAAAAGAAACAGAAAATCAGCAAAATAAATGACGATTTTGATCAACTATGTTCACGCAGAATTTGAAACAAACAGATGCATATAACCTACCAAATTTGATAAAAGCATACGGCCTCGCAGCAGTCTCAATCTGATTCCCATTGACTTTCTCAAATTCATTTTTGAGGTCCTCTAGGTACTGAAAAGCAAGCTTCTTTGGGTATGACCGATCACACATTGTCAAGTAACAGACACGGCCTTCAATGATATAGCTGTGTAGTTGTGTCAAGGTACCGACCAAAAAATGCTAGATGAATTTAATTGAATACCACATACACGCAACATAGCCATATATCAAATATTTTGCTATAATACTTATCAAATGCACAGGAAACATATAATGTGGGTTGAAGGCTACCATATAAAAGTATTTAATTATTCAGGTTAGGAATTTGGATACATGATCCATTTAACACAAAATCAGACTTTATGCATAAGATCTGATTCCAAAACTCTGGTGCGTACAAACCCGATATCAAATGAAAACTAATCATTATCACCTATTCTGATACTATTGATGACTCTACTAAGCCTTGTCCAATATTCACCATGTGTACTGACATGCCAAACTTGTAATGTTTTTAAACATAGCACAAAAGCAAACTACCCATCCCCAGTGATATCAAGTGCAATGGATGTGAGTATGATGGTGTCTCCATAGACATGCATAAAAGGAGAATCAACACCTGTAAAGCAGTGAAACACTTCTATCATGAACATGTCTTATGCTGGACATAATGCTTTTTACCATGCCATTGGTTTGAAAATGCTTTTTAGAATTTGATTCGGGTCTGTATGTTGTATTATGTGTCACCACTTCCATGCTTGCGCTTGGTTATACCATCTAATGAAAGCAAAGGGTTTCATTTTATAACATCTAGTTCTCGTGTCACATTGACTATGGAAAAAGCTTCTGCACATATAGTAGCTGCAATAATAGAAAAGAATCTTTTAGTATATGGTAATTACAGGATAGTATGATCTGGCAGTAATAAAAAGTAAAGGATACTGGAAGAAGTAAGGGCCAGTCTCAATTGACATCCTGGAAGCCTCGTTATGTCCTTTAGACAAGTTCTTAAACAGAAGTTTTGCTTGCTGCTTGTAGAATTCAGCATCTTTCTGATCGCGCCCATCATCCAATCCTTCTGCTAATGGAAGGCCATCAGTCACACGCGCTATCATCGTCAGCTTCACCATCTTATGCACAATAAGGAGACAAACAAAAGGTTGCTAAATATGATATCCTTAATTGACCTAGATTTAGCAAAGAGGAAAATATCAGATTAATAATCGGGATGTTATGATGTGATATTCTACAAGTGAATTTAATATAAAAAGAACAACTGTAGCTCAACTCATTCTAAAGCAATGTGAAATCTAGGGTGACAAGACTTCGTCATAATTGGGGCTTTGAAAACATGGAAAGATACATGCTGGTGAAACTAAAGTTAAAGATAACCGTTCCTAGACTCCAACTTGGCCCCATGTCCATGCACAGGACACTCGGTCCCTATTTCCCTCATTCAAGTCATCCTATATCAAACAAGACCACGCAAAAGTAGTTCAAATTAAACTAACATTTCAATCTTTACTGTACCAAACAAAACCAGAGTTCAAACTGAATATCAAGCCTAGTAACAGATTAATTAATCACATCATACATAAAATTTGTCATGTTGAACTCTTTTACTATTTGTACAGCATATTATGCTATGACATAAAAGTACACTGAAAGGCCCCTTTCAAACAATACTCTATGTCCTTAGAGAACTTGTTCAACAACGAGCAATCTTTGACGACCTAACGGGGTTTCACAATTGATTTGCTAAGGAAATTTTATGTTCTTAGCCGTATGAAGTAACCATAAGGATTCAAATATTGGTGCACACACCAGCTTGTGTGTAAGCGCATGTGTTTGTTATTAACAACACTGAATATAACTTATATTGATGTTTTGTTTGATTAGAAATTTTCAGGTTCTTCGTCAAGCCCCCTTAGAGAGGCATCACCTTGAAATCACAAGGGTTTGCATAAGCTTGTCATGCTCCAAATGTTGGTAACAGTTTGGGTGCCGGTTTCATAACATGGATGCTTTTTCATTGATGACTTACTTCATCTATCCAGCACTACCAATCTCCACAGCAATTTTATGATCTCCAATTAAACCATCAATCATTGGGTAATCTATAATCTATAATATCCGCCCAAATGAGATGTAAGCTAAAAGAATATGATAAATCCAAAATGTGAAGTTTTAGCCTCGACCGGCTCAGCAACCTCAATTTTGATAACAGTTCATAGCTCTCTTGCGAAATCACAAAAGCCGATCAAAATCTGACGAAGCAATACAAGGCTTCATGACGATAAAATAAACCCTAGGACCCAAAATAATAAAAATAAAAAATAAAAATCACACTAGATCTACACATCAAATTCAAAAAAATTTAAAAAATATAAAAAGGGACAAAGATGCAGAGAAAAGGGCAAGATTCGTAAAATTGAGAAGAATAAGCAAACAATTCGGCGAGATATACGAGAACGGGGAGAAAGCCTAAATTGATCAATTCAAATGCTTAACGGTGACCTGAAATCTGGGATCGTGAGGGTTTGAGGTACGGTTGATGGAGTCAATGAGCGATTTGGGCGAGAATTTCGATTCGACCGAGGTTTCCTCAGCAAAAGGGGTTTCTTTTCTTGATCGAGAGAAGAGAGAAAATTAGAATTTTTTTAAAAGGGGAAATGAGATCATTTACTTCTTATTAATTACGCGTAGATAGGACTCATTTCTTCCTTTTCTTTTCTTTTATTTCTTTTTCTTAAATTATCAAAGCCGGATCTGAACATGCTATTTACTTTATTTATTCATTTTCTTATTTTCTTATTTTCTTTTTCTTTTTTTTTGAATTAATCGTTGGCTTATTTGTAGGAAGCGAATATGGATTTCAAATTAAACATTTTCAGATTTGGATCCATATATAAAGATTGGAAAATAAAAAATGTATATGAGTTAACAGCTCATTTTGCAAAATAGGTTGCCAGCTCAATGTCATGTGAGTCATCTGCTAGTCATATCAAGATAGGGTTCACATAACGGTAAGCTGGTAGCTCATTTTACAAAATGAGCTATCGGTTCATACTCAGTATCCTCATATAAAATCCATATGTTCGATCATATGAAATTGTCTAGTCACGTGAACAAAGTATAATCTGGCAGAACACATAACGGTAAAAAAATTCGGTTGATTTATATGACAGCGATGAGAAGTGGGATAGAAAAGTAATTAGGGTCTACTAATGATACAGTTAACAATTTTCGTGACGATAACAATCCCCATCTTAGAATCATAATACGTTGCAACTATATTATGTCTTTAACAAGCTCTTAGTGTGCATGATTGAGCTATGCAAGTCTATAATCAAATCAGTTATTTTCTCACGGCGCTAAGGGCCCGTTTGGATAATGAAAGTATTAGAAGTAAGAAGTAGGTTATAGAAGTAACTTTCAAAGTTATGAAGTAGGAAGTAGTGTAAATAGCATTTTTTTATTTGTTTCATATATTTTTAGAAGTAATAGAAGTAGAACTTCTTCCTCTTCATTTACTTTTTTTGTTTGGATAACATTTGAAAATATTACTAGGAAGTAATTTTATCATTGAAAAGTTGTTAGAAGTAACTAATAAAAGAAATATTAATAAAAAATTATTTATGTCCTAATTAATATGCATTTCAACTACTTCCGAGCTACTTCTGGGTATTAAGGATTGGAAAAATATTTTGGAAGTAAGAATGACACGTAGACATAAGCATTTAGGGAAGTATTGGAAGTAAGTTTTTCAGATAACCAAACACATTTTTTTGTTTGGAAGTAACAGAAGTAGCTTTTATTTCTTTTACTTTAGCTACTTCACAATTACTTCCGTGCAAACAAACAGGCCCTAAGGAGCAAAACTGAAAAGGATAACAAGCTAATCATAGGGGTAAATATGTAATTCAAGGTGTAGCGGATTCTTATGAGGAGCGGTTCGGATTGCAAACTATGCACCGATAGTTTGTTGAGAGCTTGGTAGGTCAGAAGTAGAGGTGGCAGAGGGAATGCTACTCTTTTTGGTTTCCCTCGTGTCATTGATTTTGTCTTTTCGAGGAGAGGTTTCTAAATACTTCTCATCTAGATTAATCAATTGGATACATAAATAAATATTTGTATACAAATGGAGTTTATTTGTTGTAGATAAAAATGAGGGCGGTTGGGGAAGATTCTTCTTTTTTTTTCTCCCCAAAAGTAGTTTTTAAGCTAGCCTTACACTTTCATGTGTACGTGCGTTGCACGTAGGCACAACGCACGTAGGCACACTTGTTGATCAATTTTTTGGACATATTTAGAACTATATTCTAAATATTTAACCTTGAAATATGAATTATTGAATATACAAAATATTTATTTTATTATTTTATAGTCAGCATGTTATTTATCCTTCCTAATGGTATAACTATATTACAAATTTGTGAATAAAAACCCCCAGCATGTGCTAAATTATAAATATTAGACATCATGTTAAATTATAAAACAAATAGAATTATGCTTTTTAGGTTCACAAATTGAATAATGTCTTTCAGGTATTCCATAAGTTTTATTAGAAAGCTCTGGTTTCATAAAACTAAAATTTTAGAAAAAATATAGAGTAAACCTTTAAATTTGCAAAACAACTCTGAAAACTTCATAATTTTATAGATATGCTATAAAATTTGCAGAAAAGACCTTGAAATGTCACAAATAAACCTCATAAAAGATTATATTTACTCTAGGATTTTAATGATAAAAAGATACTAAAAATCCTCAAATTACATCTAACACCAAACTTATTATAAAAAAATATAAACATAAAATCAATCCAACAACGTGCAACGCGCGTGCACTATACTAAGTATATTATAACCTCCCTAATCACACTATTAATCTTTTTTAACTCCTCATTCAAATCAAAACCCTCTTCATCTCCTCTGTATCATAACATCTACATTCAACAATATATAACTCCCCCATCCATGCCTCCTTCTTAACAATCCATTCACCATAACAAAGAGTACTGATATCTCTCCTGTAAAACATATATAGCTTGCCGAAATAATCTATCATTTTCGCACCGACAAACCCATCCATTTTTTAATTTCTCGTATTGACCAACCTTGATGACAACGGTCTTGTGGACTATTGGAGCGACGTGATGTAGCTCCAACATCGGTGCTCTAATAAGATCGTATTATTCTTTGTCAATGATGAATAGCACATGGCCTCGACTGCAGATGATAAGCTAGCCTCATCTCATTTTCATTTTTAGTTTCTGTACACAGTTACCTATGCTTTCTACAAGATGTCTATGCTATTATACTTTGTATCGTAGTTTAATAGGAAAAGTTTCCCTCCATTCGTAATTTACTTTGTTGTGATTGGTATTGCTGAAAATTACAACAACCAGATTTGAGAAATTGATAAACAGGTGACTGGGCTTAAAGTTTCATAAACATCAGTCAAAGTTCATATTATCAGGCCCTTGAACTGTTGCTTTGCTCCTCTGTGCTTACACATGAAAGTTGTTACACGTGCAACGCATGTGCACTATACTAACTGCAGACGATACTAGTATAGTGCTACATTATATCTAAAACTAGTATAGTGCACGTGCGATGCACGTGTAACCACTTTCATGTGTAAGCACAGAGGAGGAAAGCAACAATTCAAGGGTATGATAATATGAACTTTGACTGATGTTTATGAAACATTAAGCCCAGTCACATATGTTTATCAATTTCTCAATTCTGGTTGTTATAACTTTCAGCAATACCAATCACAACAAAGTGAATTACGAATGGAGGGAAACTTTTTTCTTTTAAACTACGATACAAAGTATAATAGCATAGACATCTTGCAGAAAGCATAGATAAATGTGTACATAAACTAAAAATAAAAATGAGATGAAGCTAGCTTATCATCTACAGTCGAGGCCATGTGCTATTCATTATTGACGAAGAATAATACGATCTTATTAGAGCACCGATGTTGGAGCTACATCATGTCGCTCCAATAGTCCACAAGACCGTTGTCATCAAGGTTGGTCAATACGCGAAATTAAAAAATGGCTGGGTTTGTTGGCATGAAAATGATAGATTGTTTCGGCAAGTTATATATTGTTGAATGTAGAGGTTATAATACGGAGGAGATGAAGAGGGTTTTGATTTGAATGAGGAGTTAAAGAAGATTAATAGTGTCGTACGCTAGTTGAGAAGGAAAATTATTAAATGTGTCTTTTGTGCTTTAATTATTGTGCATTCACCTTAAATTCCTTTATTGAGGAAAATCAAACGCAATCCCGCCCAATATTAATCCTCTAACATAAGTTTTAATTTATTGTTATTATAATAACCGTTCTATTTAAATATTGATGATGGAGTTATGACTTGCACGTTTATGACTTTTAAAATAAAATTATTTGGGAGTTATGAGTATGCATTTAATTGGGGGTTATGCTATGATTTATGTATGGATGCATGTATTTTATGTATGTATGTATATGTTTCAAAGGGTATTTTCAGAAGAAATGTTTTAACATCCCAATCCACTTTTATAGTAGTATTAGATTAGATTTATGTATGTATGTATATGTTTCAAAGGGTATTTTCGGAAGAAATGTTTTAACATTCCAATCCACTTTTATAATAGTATTAGATTAGATTAGATTAGATTATGAAGATTATGAAATAAGTATATGAAATTATGAAGTTTCAGTATTAACATATGGTATTATGAAATTTTTAACATCCCAATCCACTTTTATAATAGTATGGTGCACGTGCGATGCACGTGTAAAACCTTACATGTTTATATGTAGCCCTATAGTTATTTTTTTGCATTGATAATTTTTTTTCTATGTGACATATATTTGAAAATGTCATATATAATATATATTAGGTTTTGATTGAATGACTTTTAATTGGCAATTTATGCTTGTTCTCAGAAATAATTGGTCACTTTTATTAATTAATGATATAAATAGACGTTATAGGGTTATAAATAGGATCATAAAGAACACTAATTTGGCATATAAAAAATCAGGATATTGACAGAAAAAACCACAAAATAAATAAGGTAACCAAAATTATTTAATTATATGTCCTAGCAGAATCATATCTTCTTTAAGTTTGACATAAATAAACAGAAGGGAGCTCAATTTGAGCAGCATTCGTCAGATTTAAAAGATTCTTTTTTGTCAAACTATAGAGAGCGATAGGAAATCGGTCTGCAGCAAGGCAATTTGATCTATAATAGCTAGATTCCATGACCTGCAAATGAAACTAAATCGAGCATGATTAGGCATCGTCAACTTCTCGAGGATCAAACCTAACTATAAATGTTACATAAAGAGTGAGATCACCTTTGAGATCAAAGATAATATGTTGCATTGTAAATAGTTGACAGCTTTAATATACATCTTCGTTGCATATTAGAATGTTGTGTTAGATAATAATTGGTTGAAAGATAATTTGTACAAAATGTGCATCATAGAATGAAAAAAAAATAATCAATGAAGATTTTGTTCTTCAAGTATTATAAATAATCAATGAACAATTAATGTATATACTGAAATACCACGAAATACCACAAGTTTAAATCTATATGCATGGTTGAGATAACGTCTTTTAATATTGGCTTAAAAACTTTATTAGGATTAAATACAATTGAATGAATATAAATGGCCAAAAAATAT